ACTCAAAGAGTTTAAAAATGAATAAGTCCTTTTTATTGGACCATGGTGTCACGACAATCAAAAAGAGCCGACGTTTCGGGGCCACGCAGGGTCCCTTTCTCAAGGCAAAAGATGTGACCATAAAAAAGACTTATTCATTTTTAAACTCTTTGAGTGCTGGTGACCTATTTCTTCAATTATAACATAGGGACACTTTTATTTTTATTTTTTTTTTACATTTAGGGTACTTTTTCATTATAAAGTAAAAACAAATAACCCCCCGTGGGGTCACAAAAGAAAGCTCTATCTGTCCCCAAAATTTTTTAACATATATTGCAAGGCTATAGTCTGGTCATGCTGACTGGTGAAATTTGTGACTGACTGGTGAGACACCGCCAAATTTTTCAAGCCCTGTATATATGCAGGGACTTAGCTGTGAGACATGATTGGGCAGAGTCATCGTGACTCTGCCCAATCATGGCTCTACATTTGTACTGAGAACTGATTGGCACAGTCTTGCACCTGACCTGCGGTCAGGTGCAGGACTGTAGCCAATTACCGCTTTCGGATGGCGCAGTGCATTGTGGGATGTGCCGGGGTCGAACAGACCGCGGACATCCCATAATGTTCAGCGTTCGGCGAACGCTAAAACATGCAATGTTCGAGCCGAACCTATGGTCGACTCGAACATGCAGCCCATCTTTAGTGATGAGCTCAATGTTTGAGTTGACCAACAGTTTGACTCGAACATCGCTAGTTCATGTGTTCGATGAACACACATACTATCTGGGCATTCGGCAGGCTGTTCGCCCGCTGAGCGCCGCAAAGTGCCTTGTGATGCCCTGATTGGGTACAGCAATGCACCTGACCACAGTCCAAAAAATTATTGGCCTACCACTAAGCAGGCTGTCCCCCCTTCTGTCCATTATGAATGCTGCTGCCAGACTCAACCAGCTTACCAACTGATCAATGTCCATCACCCCCTCTGCCAATCTCTCCACTGGCTCCCAATTCCCCAATGTATAAAATTCAAAGTGCTATCAATACTCTACAAAGCTATCTAAAAATCTGCCCCAACCTACAACACCCACCTCATCTCAAAATATCCCCCAAGACCTCCTGCTCTCCAGCTCTCTTGCATGCTCGCCTCCAGGACTCTCCCATTCTCTGGAACTCCTTACCCCAATCTGCCCGCTTATCTTCTACTCTGTCCATCTTTAGGTGATCCTTAAAAACTCATCTCTTCAGGGAGGCCAATTCCAGCTTGATATAACCGTCCTTTCAGATCTTCCATTAAATCATCCCACACAAGTATTTCCGTTTGTGTCACTTACCCCTCCTAATAGATTGTAAGCTCTCATGAGCAGGGCACTCCTACCTCCTGTTCTGAAATTGTATTGTTAATTGTATTGTCTCCCTCAATTTTGTAAAGCGTTGTACAAACTGTTGGCACCATAATACATTCTGTATAATAATAATAAAAAATAATCATCATACTGTTTTTGTGTAGATTTTACACAGTAACCCCACTGTTTTGGGAATCTGGGCTGTATACAATATAAACTCCTTTAGAGGTTAGGAGTAAATACAGGGTGACCAACGCATTCCACTACCTGCGCCAGGCAGCTATACATTTGTTTTCCCTCTTTGTAGACATGGTTACAATTATTAAGAGATGTAACATTTGTATCAACGCTCAGCAAGTCCTTATATTAGTTACATATGGATACACTACAGATACATGACTCCAATGACTTCCTCTATGGAGGAACAACACTGCCACCTGGTGGTCAAATGATACATCGGCTCTGTACGGGGCTCCGGGAAGATCTACAATATCATCGGATTGTTTCCTTTCAGAATTTCACCTCCAAATATTGTTTATTATTACATTGTTCTCCACAATACTTTACACAAATGACAGTTGTCAGGATTAGTTTCTCACTAAGAAGTGTCACCTCACTAACAGAAGTTATAATAGAGTTTGTACACAAATGAACAGAGATAAAATCAGATCTCAGCTCAGTCGGTGAAGTGGCGGCGGCTTCTAGAAGTGTCTTTGGATCATAGAGGAGGATTTGGATGCAGAAAGATTTCAATGAATTCAATTAAAGCGGAGAACTCAGTCATGTGATCGACAATGACGTTTTCCGTATTTCCTTGTTGTTGATTGGCTTAAAAACAAGTCTGAACTCTATTGGTTGGCTTCAAACGTGACCAATCAAATGGTGTGACGTCAGCGCATTCACGATCTATATAAGAGGAAGGGAGCGGGTTAGTCAAAACATTTTTTGAGAGACTCCATCGCTGTTATATAATGTCTGGACGCGGCAAACAAGGCGGGAAGACTCGTGCTAAGGCGAAGACCCGATCATCCCGGGCTGGTCTGCAGTTCCCAGTCGGTCGTGTTCACCGTCTGCTCAGGAAAGGAAACTACGCCCAGCGGGTCGGTGCCGGAGCTCCCGTCTACCTGGCCGCCGTTCTGGAGTATCTGACCGCTGAGATCCTCGAGCTGGCCGGTAACGCCGCCCGGGACAACAAGAAGACCCGCATCATCCCCCGACACCTCCAGCTGGCTGTCCGCAACGACGAGGAGCTCAACAAGCTGCTCGGTGGGGTCACCATCGCCCAGGGAGGAGTCCTGCCCAACATCCAGGCCGTGCTGCTGCCCAAGAAGACCGAAAGTCACAAAGCTTCCAAGGCCAAGTAATCCATCAGCATAAATCTCCATTACAGAACCCAAAGGCTCTTTTCAGAGCCACCCACATCTCCATACAGAGCGCTCTTAATACAATATGTGTGTGTATAGAATGACTTGTAATTGATTTTGATAATGTTCTAAAATGAGTCTTGAAGTGGAAGAACAGGAGAGATTAGCTCGCTGATTATCTCTTATAGATCTTCCGATCAAGTCATGTGATCTCTCCCAAATCATAGATCTCCCACCCTTTCTTTGCCTAATTGTAATGAATTCTGTGCAAATCACGTGCCACCTCTCACCGCAGAGCATTACTTATCCATGTTATTGTCTGATGGAGGGAATCACTGAACCTGAACTCTGTTGACGTCACAGATGTAGAATCAGCCCGGTAATACCGCCAAATGTGAGTGAAGACAAAGAGGATTAAACTGCCGATTATATCTGGAAAGGAGAAATCCCATTTATACTCTGACCTCTAAAACTATGATGTCCCAGTTCTTGAAGAGGCGAAAAGTCTAGAATGTATTTAGGATAAATGTCAGGGAAGGACTGTCCTATGGGGGGAGGGGGTTGCAGGGATCAGTGTCACACAACAGCGGAGGTCTATAGACTTCCTGATAATAGTTACTCTTTGGGATTCCATTATAATCTCTAGTAGAAGGTTACAATTTGCTAAACAGCTTTATTCACTCCAACAAAATCTTACTGTGGATGAGGACAAAGACTATAATGAGCGTGAATTTCAAACTTAGTAACGGCTGAGTGTTGGGACGGTTCCCGCCTAGAGAGGCGGAGCTTTGGAGCATCACGGAAACGCCTCCTTAACCCTCCCCTCTCAGTTCCCCATCAGGTCCACTCTTTCTCTATAAAGGGAAGTTACCAGCGCATTATTTTTACATCGATTAGTTTGGCTAACTGACGAAGAGATCTGAGATGTCTGGTCGCGGTAAAGGCGGGAAGGGTCTGGGGAAAGGCGGCGCTAAGCGGCACAGGAAGGTGCTCCGGGACAACATTCAGGGCATCACGAAACCCGCCATCCGACGCTTGGCCCGCAGAGGGGGTGTCAAACGCATCTCCGGACTCATCTATGAGGAGACCCGCGGAGTGCTGAAGGTTTTCCTGGAGAATGTCATCCGCGATGCCGTCACCTACACCGAGCACGCCAAGAGGAAGACCGTCACCGCCATGGATGTCGTCTATGCCCTCAAACGTCAGGGACGCACTCTCTACGGATTCGGAGGTTAAGCTGTAACTCATCTGCCTGTTTCATATACCCAAAGGCCCTTTTCAGGGCCACCCACCTTCTCATAGAAAGTGCTGTAACCTGGTTACTAACAATCATGATTTTATGATCAAAGTTTAGTTTCATTAGTGATCACTCCCAACATACAGGTGTAAACAATAAAGTGAAATCTCTTCAAGAAATTATAAATATTTAGGTTGTGTAATATATTCTGATGGCTTTTATTTACATGTAAATTGGTGCAGCTAAATCACCTAATAACTATAATCTGCAAGCGGAAGATAGCACTTTACAATACAAACTGACGGAGCGGCGCATAGTCAGGCCTGTGGAGTGTGCAGAGTAAACATTTGTATAATGCTGCCGGTGTGTTATCTGGGATTCGATCTCCATATCACATGAGTCAGAATATCAAAATCGTAATCGCAGGTCTCATTAGTAACCAAAATGATTTCAAAAGATGCCGATAGCTTGGTTTTAATTTCCACATGGATAACAACCGCAACAGTACAATCCTATAGGCTCTAGACTGGTATGACAATAGCACAGTGGTGGGAAAATTGTGGACACTTTATGACATTTCATTTTGTTTGCAACTTTGCAGGCTTATAGGACAATTAAATTCAGAATGACAATTAAAATGTCACGCTGAATTAAAGAAATAAACAAATGCAGAACAAAAAAAGGTATGCGGGCACACTGCAATCATGGTGAATATACTGCACAGGGAGCAATTCTAGTCTCAATGAATTGCCTTTTGGACGCCTCACTCGTACAAGGCTTTCCAAACGGTGCCACATAATCTCTATCGGGCTCAGGTCCGGGCTGCTTCCTGGGCAGGTCTACAATGGGATGGACTTTGGTGTGAACGGTGCTGATTGCATGTTTGCTATATCCTTCTGAACTAGAAACGGTGCATTGTTGGGAAAGAGATCCCTGGTGGAAGGTTTTGGTTCCAGGATGGAGTTCATGTATTTTCGGGCGTCCATTAAATGAAGGCGGCCAACACCATTTGCTGTCATACATGCCCAAATCATCAGTCTTGTTGGTTGCTGTATATTGGTCTGGTCTCTATGCAGTCAGGATGTAGCTCTTCTCCTACTCTACGTCTCTCCTATTTTCAGTCATCATCACTACCAGATGAGGAAAATCTCACTTTCATCGCTCCAAATACCAGAACACACCGCAACACTGACTTTCCTCAGCTTCTGCCATTTGATTGGTCCCCGGAGCAAGGACTGTGATTGGCCAGGGGTTTGCACTTAACATCCTCTTCTTTACTGACTCACACTTACGTTCTGGAGTATCTGACCGCTGAGATCCTCGAGCTGGCCGGTAACGCCGCCCGGGACAACAAGAAGACCCGCATCATCCCCCGACACCTCCAGCTGGCTGTCCGCAACGACGAGGAGCTCAACAAGCTGCTCGGTGGGGTCACCATCGCCCAGGGAGGAGTCCTGCCCAACATCCAGGCCGTGCTGCTGCCCAAGAAGACCGAAAGTCACAAAGCTTCCAAGGCCAAGTAAGCCATCAGCATAAATCTCCATTACAGAACCCAAAGGCTCTTTTCAGAGCCACCCACATCTCCATACAGAGCGCTCTTAATACAATATGTGTGTGTATAGAATGACTTGTAATTGATTTTGATAATGTTCTAAAATGAGTCTTGAAGTGGAAGAACAGGAGAGATTAGCTCGCTGATTATCTCTTATAGATCTTCCGATCAAGTCATGTGATCTCTCCCAAATCATAGATCTCCCACCCTTTCTTTGCCTAATTGTAATGAATTCTGTGCAAATCACGTGCCACCTCTCACCGCAGAGCATTACTTATCCATGTTATTGTCTGATGGAGGGAATCACTGAACCTGAACTCTGTTGACGTCACAGATGTAGAATCAGCCCGGTAATACCGCCAAATGTGAGTGAAGACAAAGAGGATTAAACTGCCGATTATATCTGGAAAGGAGAAATCCCATTTATACTCTGACCTCTAAAACTATGATGTCCCAGTTCTTGAAGAGGCGAAAAGTCTAGAATGTATTTAGGATAAATGTCAGGGAAGGACTGTCCTATGGGGGGAGGGGGTTGCAGGGATCAGTGTCACACAACAGCGGAGGTCTATAGACTTCCTGATAATAGTTACTCTTTGGGATTCCATTATAATCTCTAGTAGAAGGTTACAATTTGCTAAACAGCTTTATTCACTCCAACAAAATCTTACTGTGGATGAGGACAAAGACTATAATGAGCGTGAATTTCAAACTTAGTAACGGCTGAGTGTTGGGACGGTTCCCGCCTAGAGAGGCGGAGCTTTGGAGCATCACGGAAACGCCTCCTTAACCCTCCCCTCTCAGTTCCCCATCAGGTCCACTCTTTCTCTATAAAGGGAAGTTACCAGCGCATTATTTTTACATCGATTAGTTTGGCTAACTGACGAAGAGATCTGAGATGTCTGGTCGCGGTAAAGGCGGGAAGGGTCTGGGGAAAGGCGGCGCTAAGCGGCACAGGAAGGTGCTCCGGGACAACATTCAGGGCATCACGAAACCCGCCATCCGACGCTTGGCCCGCAGAGGGGGTGTCAAACGCATCTCCGGACTCATCTATGAGGAGACCCGCGGAGTGCTGAAGGTTTTCCTGGAGAATGTCATCCGCGATGCCGTCACCTACACCGAGCACGCCAAGAGGAAGACCGTCACCGCCATGGATGTCGTCTATGCCCTCAAACGTCAGGGACGCACTCTCTACGGATTCGGAGGTTAAGCTGTAACTCATCTGCCTGTTTCATATACCCAAAGGCCCTTTTCAGGGCCACCCACCTTCTCATAGAAAGTGCTGTAACCTGGTTACTAACAATCATGATTTTATGATCAAAGTTTAGTTTCATTAGTGATCACTCCCAACATACAGGTGTAAACAATAAAGTGAAATCTCTTCAAGAAATTATAAATATTTAGGTTGTGTAATATATTCTGATGGCTTTTATTTACATGTAAATTGGTGCAGCTAAATCACCTAATAACTATAATCTGCAAGCGGAAGATAGCACTTTACAATACAAACTGACGGAGCGGCGCATAGTCAGGCCTGTGGAGTGTGCAGAGTAAACATTTGTATAATGCTGCCGGTGTGTTATCTGGGATTCGATCTCCATATCACATGAGTCAGAATATCAAAATCGTAATCGCAGGTCTCATTAGTAACCAAAATGATTTCAAAAGATGCCGATAGCTTGGTTTTAATTTCCACATGGATAACAACCGCAACAGTACAATCCTATAGGCTCTAGACTGGTATGACAATAGCACAGTGGTGGGAAAATTGTGGACACTTTATGACATTTCATTTTGTTTGCAACTTTGCAGGCTTATAGGACAATTAAATTCAGAATGACAATTAAAATGTCACGCTGAATTAAAGAAATAAACAAATGCAGAACAAAAAAAGGTATGCGGGCACACTGCAATCATGGTGAATATACTGCACAGGGAGCAATTCTAGTCTCAATGAATTGCCTTTGGACGCCTCACTCGTACAAGGCTTTCCAAACGGTGCCACATAATCTCTATCGGGCTCAGGTCCGGGCTGCTTCCTGGGCAGGTCTACAATGGGATGGACTTTGGTGTGAACGGTGCTGATTGCATGTTTGCTATATCCTTCTGAACTAGAAACGGTGCATTGTTGGGAAAGAGATCCCTGGTGGAAGGTTTTGGTTCCAGGATGGAGTTCATGTATTTTCGGGCGTCCATTAAATGAAGGCGGCCAACACCATTTGCTGTCATACATGCCCAAATCATCAGTCTTGTTGGTTGCTGTATATTGGTCTGGTCTCTATGCAGTCAGGATGTAGCTCTTCTCCTACTCTACGTCTCTCCTATTTTCAGTCATCATCACTACCAGATGAGGAAAATCTCACTTTCATCGCTCCAAATACCAGAACACACCGCAACACGGACTTTCCTCAGCTTCTGCCATTTGATTGGTCCCCGGAGCAAGGACTGTGATTGGCCAGGGGTTTGCACTTAACATCCTCTTCTTTACTGACTCACACTTGTGTTTCTTTGTTAGACTTAAGTAATCATAACTGGTGTTGTACTGAATATATTTGCATTCTGTTTCCAGGATTGCATTCAGCGTGACATTTTCTTTACATTGACATATAAACATTTGTATTTGATGCAACATAACATTTCCTATAAGCCTGCAAAGCTGCAAAACATTCCGGAAAGTGTCCACAATTTGTGCCACCGCTGTAATGCACTTTGCTAAACATTAGAATCCGGGAACAATTCTCCCTGTGTGAGGAGTGCATTCGAAGTGTAACCGCACCGGAAGTATATAATTTAGCCGGGTGATTTGTGAAATGTTACAATGAACCGCAAACTGAAATCTACAAGACTGATAAAGTGATCTTCCCATGTACTAATCGTACTGAGCTCAGAGCATTGTTTCATGTGGAGGGGACAAAAAGGCTCAACGGACAGATTTAGGCGGGGATTTTGGAAAATGCCAACTCATTCAAATACAAAAAGGGGAGGGCGTTCAGTGCCCAATCAAAGGGCTTGGATGTGCATATATATAGTGCTGCAGAGCGGCAGTGTTTTACAGTCGCTGTTACAACGAAGAATTGAGAAGAGATGGCGAGAACTAAGCAGACAGCCCGGAAGTCCACTGGCGGGAAAGCTCCCCGCAAGCAGCTGGCCACCAAAGCTGCCCGTAAGAGCGCCCCGGCCACCGGCGGAGTCAAGAAGCCTCACCGCTACAGGCCCGGCACTGTGGCCCTCCGAGAGATCCGACGTTACCAGAAATCCACCGAGCTGCTCATCCGAAAGCTGCCCTTCCAGCGCCTCGTCCGCGAGATCGCCCAGGACTTCAAGACCGACCTGCGCTTCCAGAGCTCGGCTGTCATGGCTCTGCAGGAGGCCAGCGAGGCTTATCTCGTAGGACTCTTCGAGGACACCAACCTCTGCGCCATCCACGCCAAGAGGGTCACCATCATGCCCAAAGACATCCAGCTGGCCCGCAGGATCCGAGGGGAGAGGGCATAAGAAGAGACCCCGCTATCATCCATTACGCAACACAAAGGCTCTTTTGAGAGCCCCCACATTCTCCGTACAAAGATCTGTATACACAGCATGTCGGTTCTCTATTGTAATTTCTGTAAAATCAAAGTGTGATCGGAAGATTGTACAGTTACTACGAAGCAACTTGCATCGTGGGGAACGGTGTTCCAGTCTATCGGAGGAACAAAAACCTTCCCATCCGTTATATCATAATACAATATTGTTACAAATAATCGACTTTGTTACTCTTCTATATCCGCAGAACCGATTCTCTCTGTAGGTTTCTTCTCTTTATGTCAATGTATCTGAGAAATGTGCAGCAGACGGAGCACACAGGATTAACCTCTCGTTGTCTCTGCTGATCCCGGTATGTGAACTCGCTGATAGTTGCATTAACAATTGACCACTACCATTCAGGTGCCCAGCAGCTGCTTTGCATCTACCACTCTCCCTGTTCAGGGCAGCCTTCAGAAATTTCGGGGCCCCTTACATGGCTTTAGGCCGGCCCCCCCTACTGGCCAATCACAGTCCTTGCTCCGGGGACCAATCAAATGGAACTCGCTGATCTCTGGTACTGCAGACAGATTAGGGTCCGACATTGTATGCAATCTATAGGAAGAATTGTTCTGTTCCTGTACACTCATTAGTCACCGATTTGGCGGCGGGTTATGTAAAGTGTCGCTCAGCCAATCATATATGCGTATTGATTCGTCTCCCTATTATACACCATGTAATATTCGTAGAGTGGAGAGGGCCCAAGGGCACCATCATGCCCAAAGACGTCCAGCTGGCCCGCAGGATCAGAGGGGAGAGAGAGAGGGCATAAGAGGAGAGCCCGTCATCATTATCCTCCATTACACAACACAGGCTCTTTTCAGAGCCACCAGAGAGCTGTATATACTGTGGGAGTTTATCACATCTGGAGTAGTTGTCAATGGCAACCAGTGAGCGTCCCCCTTAGTTTATCAGGTACGATTTGAAAAAGAGGGGCTGACTGTCTGTAGTTCTGATAAATTCCCCCAGTTATGAATATGGCGGCAGTATTGACATCAATATATCATAGAAGGCAGCTTACATTGTTTCTGAAATCGGGAGAGCAGAGCAGTCCCTGCCTATTGAAGGGGCAGAAAGATTCCCATCTGCTGTCATATGTCACAGTATAATTGGTCTCCTTTTGTAAGTTCCATAAATGCAGATTGTTACAAATCAACGTTATTACAGTCCTTGTTCTATATCGAGTCTTCACAAGCGAGTCTAATGTTTGTCTTTTTATTCTGTGTTTATAGATCAGCACACACAGGGTTAACCTTAGTCTGAGGATCTCGCATTGTATCTGCTGATCAGATATGTGAGCTCCCTGATGTCCGGTACAGCACACGAATAATAGATTAAAGATCTGTGGGGGGTACAATCTGACATTGTATGCAATCTGTAGGATGAATTTATTCCCGGAATTCCCATTATCATCCTGTAGACTCATTACTGTCACCGATTCAATGATTTGGAGGCTTATAACGTACGCGGGTTATTTTTAATTTCCCGCTCAACCAATAAGTTATTCATCTCCATACTAAGATACAATGAGATTCAGACAGAGGAACTCCCTTTGTCCCCCTTTTAATGGTGTGAACAAGCCCTTAAGAGGGTAGAGTTACATAATGCAACTCTAGCCTGAGAATCTCAGAAATATAGTACAGAATCTGAGAATACTCTATGACCTCATCATACGGTATGTGGAGCACTTTTGGGAGAAGGTGGGTGGCTCTGAGAAGAGCCTTTGGGGTGTGGAGGAGATGAATGGAGAAGCTCCGTCTTATCTCTTCTTGGGAGCAGCCCTCTTAGGCTTGGCTGCCTTCTTAGCCGGACTCTTGGCTGTCTTGGGCTTCGGCGCCTTCTTAGCCGGGCTCTTGGCTACTTTTTTGGGCTTGGCTGCAGCTTTGGGCTTCTTGGGGCTCTTTTTGGCAGCAGCTGGTTTCTTGGCGGCCGGCTTCTTGGGGCTCTTGGCTTTGATTGGGGCTTTCTTAGGTGCCGGCTTCTTCTTGGGGGACTTGGCTGTCTTCTTGGCGGCTGCTGGCTTCTTGGGCTTGGCGGCAGCTGCTGGCTTCTTCTTGGCCGCCACAGCCTTGTCTTTGCTCTCCTGCTTCTTGTTGATCTTGAAGGATCCGGAGGCTCCGCTGCCTTTGACTTGCTGTAGGCTCCCCTTAGTGACCAAAGCCTTGAGGGCGATCTTCAGTCGGCTGTTGTTCTTGTCCACATCGTATCCTGCGGCGGCCAGAGACTTCTTGAGGGCGGACAGGGAGACCCCGCTGCGCTCTTTGGAAGCGGCCACGGCTTTTAGGATGAGATCGGCCGCACTGGGACCGGCCGGCTTCCTGCTGACTTTCTTGGCTCCTCCGGCTGCTGCCGCCGCCTTCTTGGTCGGCTTCTTCTTGGCGGCGGGCTCCGCTGGAGGAGAGGCGGCCGGGGCGATCTCAGTCTCTGTCATGATTCTAGAAACACTCGTACAACACGATAAGTATTACTCTCGGCCCACTCTGCCTTTATATAGTTTCGATCTGCACTGCTATTGGTTGGTACGGAGCTCGCAGCTTGTCCTACTATTGGTCCCTTACCAGACACGCCCACTGACTGTCACTCCGCAGTTGGTGCATCTTCTCTCTACTGTTGTGTTTCCCTCATAGAGAGAAAACCGACTTTTATCTGAAATAGAACGATGTCCGATCTTCATCGGGGTCCCGATCTGATCTCTGGACTGTCACTTATCGGGGTGTCACTTACAGCTGTCAGGAGCTGCTGAGGAGGCTGAACACAGAGGCGGCAAAGACAAGCATCCTCCTGAGTGGGGGTCACAATCTTCCTTCTACCTTGTTTTAGAGACGAATAATAAACATGAAATCATCTTGTCACATCTCCCACTAGAATGATCTTCATATGAGATGAGTGAAGAGTGATGATCAGGAAACATTTCCCTATAATACACAACTCTAGCCATCTATAGGTGAGGAGAAGGAGCTTGGAACAAAAACATCAGGCGGTGACATGATGAGAGCCTTGTGTTATGTGATGGGGAGAGATCATTCTAGATACAATGTGTCTACTGAGTATTCAATGTCATGTTTAGTGTCCTATGTATCATTATCTGACCCCCATGTGAAATATATTGTCATTGTAAAATGCTAAATAAGTGTAATGCCATCAGTTTCTATACAGCTATTACAGTATATATTCTGGGATACAATTGTTGCATGTCGGTTTGAGGCATTGTACCAAAGGGGAGATGGTGGAAAACACTGGGATGGGGGTTGATTTGGGTGGAAGGCACTGTGGAAGGGGCGTGAAATGGCTGTCAGATACTTTAACCAGGGTGGTGAAGTGGGTGGGTGGTGTTGTGGTGAGGTGGATGGGGTTGTGGTGGTGAGATTTGGGTGGAGGAATAGAGGACCTGTGAAAGGAGTTAAGTGAGTGGCAGGTTCATTGACCAAGAAGGGTGGAGAAGGTGGCAGGTCAAAGCAGAGATGCTTTGATGAACATGGACACTGTGGGCAAGAGTAGGTGTTGTGGTGGTGGTGAGAAGGGGCTGATTTAAGACAGAGGCTTTGTGGTGGTGGTGGAGGTGAGTTTTGGGGTCAGGTGCTTTGATGGGTCAAGGGTGGGTGGGTGGAGGTGGTTGAGGAATGCTGAGAGTTAGGTGTTAGATAAACTTGTGCAATTCTTATTGTTCCATATGGGAATTCTGACAAATATTCAGACATTTGGATACATCTGAATAAAAAAAAAAAAAAACTAATCCAAGCATATCCAAATGTTTATTTTTTAAAGCGGATGTAACCTGAACTGAAGTAAACTGATCATCAGGTTACATCAGTCCCGGTCAGTCAAAACGGAGAACTGATCTGTCTCAAATTGCGGACCCCAACTGACACTTGGTTAGATTTGTGTATAAATGAATAAGACCATTGCTTCTTTTAACCATTGTATCGTTATCATCATTGGAAGCAGGGAATAGCAAGTTAGCTTATTTCAGGAGTTGCGTCTGTATAAAAGGGCTCCACCTATCAAAGAATGTTGTAATGCTCTCTTCTCCAGCTATGGTGGCCTCCAGTCTCTCCTGCTACATAATTGTTTAACCTTTTTTAACAGAGGGATGTGTTGTATCTGGTTCACTTTTTTGTCAACAGATGGAAGCCATTATGACCTGTGCAAAGGGGGTAAGGCACAGTTAACTTTGACGAAGCATAGGCCACAATAAGTGATGAACAAACTTGCTTGAGATCCCTTTGAGGTTGTATTTGGTGAATCTCATGAGAGGTGAGTCTTGGAAATATTTGTTTTCCTTTTTAAAGTCTAATAGTCAAGGTATTGTCAAAAAAGAACCAGGGGAGGTGGGCATGCTATGTAGCAATTGGGGGGTGATGGGTGATTCAGCTGGGGAATATCCACCCCATTCCCCTCCATTGTATGCAACTGTAACTGTGACATGGGCACAACTCCAGTTTCAATGTTAAAGTTGTGAAATTCAAAATCACTTTCTACAGAGATGACTTTAAGCCCTTGGCTCTCAACTGGTGGGTTGCGACCCTGTGTTCAGTGGGTCGTTGCATGCTTTCCACTTTTCTAGGTGAGAGGCTCCTCTGCCTCTCCATAGCACATCCCAACTATTGAAATCCCAAGTTGACCCGGGTGATAAGGGGGAGGTGTTAGTGGAATCCCAAATTGAACCGAGTGATAGTCTCAAACATTGATAGAACAGAGGCCTGTTCTATGTTAGAATGTGTGACCAGTGACATGGTCACACATTTAAACGTAATCTTGCCCAGTTTTTCTGCGGTGGTTGAAAAATTCATTGAATACATAGCCCTTGGCTCTCAACTGGTGGGTTGCGACCCTGTGTTCAGTGGGTCGTTGCATGCTTTCCACTTTTCTAGGTGAGAGGCTCCTCTGCCTCTCCATAGCACATCCCAACTATTGAAATCCCAAGTTGACCCGGGTGATAAGGGGGAGGTGTTAGTGGAATCCCAAATTGAACCGAGTGATAGTCTCAAACATTGATAGAACAGAGGCCTGTTCTATGTTAGAATGTGTGACCAGTGACATGGTCACACATTTAAACGTAATCTTGCCCAGTTTTTCTGCGGTGGTTGAAAAATTCATTGAATACATAGCCCTTGGCTCTCAACTGGTGGGTTGCGACCCTGTGTTCAGTGGGTCGTTGCATGCTTTCCACTTTTCTAGGTGAGAGGCTCCTCTGCCTCTCCATAGCACATCCCAACTATTGAAATCCCAAGTTGACCCGGGTGATAAGGGGGAGGTGTTAGTGGAATCCCAAATTGAACCGAGTGATAGTCTCAAACATTGATAGAACAGAGGCCTGTTCTATGTTAGAATGTGTGACCAGTGACATGGTCACACATTTAAACGTAATCTTGCCCAGTTTTTCTGCGGTGGTTGAAAAATTCATTGAATACATAGCCCTTGGCTCTCAACTGGTGGGTTGCGACCCTGTGTTCAGTGGGTCGTTGCATGCTTTCCACTTTTCTAGGTGAGAGGCTCCTCTGCCTCTCCATAGCACATCCCAACTATTGAAATCCCAAGTTGACCCGGGTGATAAGGGGGAGGTGTTAGTGGAATCCCAAATTGAACCGAGTGATAGTCTCAAACATTGATAGAACAGAGGCCTGTTCTATGTTAGAATGTGTGACCAGTGACATGGTCACACATTTAAACGTAATCTTGCCCAGTTTTTCTGCGGTGGTTGAAAAATTCATTGAATACATAGCCCTTGGCTCTCAACTGGTGGGTTGCGACCCTGTGTTCAGTGGGTCGTTGCATGCTTTCCACTTTTCTAGGTGAGAGGCTCCTCTGCCTCTCCATAGCACATCCCAACTATTGAAATCCCAAGTTGACCCGGGTGATAAGGGGGAGGTGTTAGTGGAATCCCAAATTGAACCGAGTGATAGTCTCAAACATTGATAGAACAGAGGCCTGTTCTATGTTAGAATGTGTGACCAGTGACATGGTCACACATTTAAACGTAATCTTGCCCAGTTTTTCTGCGGTGGTTGAAAAATTCATTGAATACATAGCCCTTGGCTCTCAACTGGTGGGTTGCGACCCTGTGTTCAGTGGGTCGTTGCATGCTTTCCACTTTTCTAGGTGAGAGGCTCCTCTGCCTCTCCATAGCACATCCCAACTATTGAAATCCCAAGTTGACCCGGGTGATAAGGGGGAGGTGTTAGTGAAATCCCACGTTGACTCGGGTGATAAGGGGAGGGGGGGTGTTTTTGAAATCCCAAGTTGACCCGGGTGATAAGGGGGAGGTGTTAGTGGAATCCCAAATTGAACCGAGTGATAGTCTCAAACATTGATAGAACAGAGGCCTGTTCTATGTTAGAATGTGTGACCAGTGACATGGTCACACATTTAAACGTAATCTTGCCCAGTTTTTCTGCGGTGGTTGAAAAATTCATTGAATACATGATTGAAAAATTAATTTGGGTTCATAAAAAAGTGGAGGGACATTGGCTTTGCTCACTCCACCTATGAACATCCCATTCAAGAATACATGATAGAATGGTTAATTAATAGCATGATTAGAATAATAGATACATGAATAAGGATGGTTGAGAATGGGGGAGCAAATATTGTCTCGACGTTTCGCGCTCAGAGGAACCCTGTGTCGAGCAGTTTGAGGTGGGAGGCATAGAATAATAGGGAAGCCTTGTATGGAGTAAAGAACCTATCCTATCCCCCCAGCCAGCCCCAGACACATCTCACTCATCTGCTGCTGTTCCCTCTCCCCCCAGCTCCAGATCATTGCAGGCTTACCAGTGCAGTGACTTCACTTCACTTCACACTGCCACGAACAGCCATCAGGCTCTGCCACAAGCTACGCGGCCGCCCCTGAGAAAAAAACCCTTCCTGCACGTGGGCAGGAAGGTACCAAAACATCAAATTGGACGGGGGTGTTGGGACGTACCAACTGTTACGTACAACCGCGGCGGACCCTGCAAGGACACCTTGCCGATCCCTGGCGGGGGGGCAAGTGAAAACCTAGGGGGGGCAATTGCCCCCCTTGCCCCCCTGTAGCGACGCCACTGCTGAAAGGTAACATCTATCCGACTTTGTGAGTGCGGTGGAATGTAAGATCACAGTCGGAGAGAAGTGACATTTCAGGACCGATCAGCTGTTCCAGGGCAGATCGGTTCCCTGCACATGCGATTTGCGATGCCGTTCTGCCCTGGAACAGCTGGGAATGCTTTGGAATGCTTCATCTATTGGCGGTCACACATTCCACCGCCGAAAAACTGGGCGGGATTACGTTAAAACGTGTGACCACGTCACTGGTCTTACATTCTAACGTAGTCACAACCTTTGACAGAACACCGTCATTAGGGGGGTATGGCCGGTACCCATGTGAGGGGTCTGGGCAGCCTCTTACATGGGTATCAACTGTACCGGGGTGGCATGGCAGAGGTGACAGGGGAGGGGGTGGAGGAGGCCGGGCCCCAGCAGCAGCAGGTAAGAAGAGTTGGGAGGAGGTACAGGGAAAGGGACCCCAGCGATCAGACCAGCCCACCTGGTACCCTGCAGAGCCCACCATAGAGTCTCAGGTGGGCTATGCAGGATCTATGGTGTGCTCTGCAGGGTCTCAGGTAAGTCCAGCACGCTACTGCAACATTAGAGACCGCTGGGGGGTGCGGGGGCCAGTGTGATCCGCTCCCGTGTCCCCCCTCCCCCCGTCTTGGGAGGGGTGCCCAAGATAAAATCTTTCACCAGGTCCCTTTGGTTATTAGGTCCCCGCCACTCTTTTACTTAACATGCGTAGTTTTGCCACCCCCCGCAGGGATGCGTCCCCCCCTCCTATCCTCTAGTGCTGACTGTAGTAATAGACAGGGAAGCGGGCGGGTACAGATGGCTCTGCCTCTAGTGAGGCACAGTCAGCTGTCAATCAGTTGGCAGGGTGGATCTCGACAGTATTGCAGCTGCAGCGTGGCTCTGCGTTGTCAGCATATAGTGGGCAATAGGTTATTTTTTGTCACAGGAGAACATAGTATATGCGCCCTTCTGATGAAGCCCCGGTGTGGGAGTGGGTGAAACGCGTCATAGGCGTTTAGTAGAGGTTTTTCTATATGGCTGCACTGTTGGAGGCTGCCCGATGATTTGCCTGATATACCCTCATGGGTTACTTCTATTTTACACATTGAATTACTAAGAATATATTGGAGGTCTGTCTATGAAAACAGAGGACAAAGATGCTGCGTTTTCAGTAAAGGCTTATATCTCCTAAAAAAAGCCGAGACAAGGTCATCTCCTGAATCCACCGCAGCCATCATTACAACGCTCGCTATATTTGATGACTACATCTTTTTGGATCCCTGTATTACTGCAGATAAAAAAGAGGATATCGAATCACTCCACAGTGATCTAACCAGAATATTTTTTTCCATCTACATGGCAATTTATGATCTGGATTCTAAATTCCATGGAATCCACATTGGAGTTCAGTTAAGACATTTATTTACAGCTATCAGCTCAAAAGCTGAGATACAACCACATCTCCTGTACTACCTACATTCTGCAAAATAGATCCAGTTGGAGTAGCAGTAACATCATTATTTCTCTTCAAACCGGATCCTAGAACGAGGATAAATCTCATTGTGAGTTAAACATCCATCACTTTATTACACTTTGATGATGACTGTTCGTTTTTTCCTTCTTTTTTTCTCTTCTTTTTCCTCAATATACATTTTTTTGAATACAGAGCTCTGTTTTCGTATATATCCCGACACTTTCTCCAAAGTTAATTCACTGGTTAATACGATTATATCATATTCATTATAGAATTTAGGCTCTTCCAGGGCATGCCCTTACTGTCGGTTTTCTACAGCATTGTTTAGTATTTTTGACAGAATGCAGCCATATATATATGTTGGTCAATGTCTTGTTGTTACCTTTTGATATATATGTTATACATTTTAAAATTTCTATAATAAATATATATTTTTATAAATTATTTTGTGTACACTTTGAAAGAATGGTGGGATCCCCTTTCGGGGAAATCTGTGTTTTTTGAGAACATAGTATATGTCCTTTTGTGACCAAAAAGAGAACTAAGGCCAAAAATGGTCGGGCCATAGTTCTCTTTTAACAAAAGTTTAAACCAGGTGTTAACCAAGCAAAACAACACTCCAGCAAATTCTCTTATAGAAGTCACTTCTTTTTTAATTGCTTTTTTCGAAAAAACATCTATGTTAGTAAATATTTTTCTGGTGTGTATGCACTAAGTCAGCAGTCGCCAACCGGTGGCAGTGGTCCGCGAGAAAATTGTGGCGGTCCCCGTGCCCCTCTGATGCCGCGCAGGCTGGGCCATCATTGAAGTGGCAGGGAGGCTCCGGGGCTGCCTCTCACTGACTCAAGCAGCGGCTGCCACAAGAAATGCGCGGCTCTCAGTACAGTGCGGGCTCTGCAGGAGGCGAGGCATCTCGTCAGTACCCGGACTGAGCAGGCTTCAGGACATAGAAAAATTGGGGATAAGCCAGGTAATAGTGGCTCAGTGTGAGGGAAGGGGAGGCAAGGGGGTGGTTGGGGGCAGTGCTGAAGCTAGGGGGGCATGTGCCCCGGGCGCCGCTGGTAGGGCCAGTGGCAGATTCGATAGGGGGGAACAATTAATATTATTACTGGGCCGGGGCAGGCGGCACCGCTCCCTCCGCCAGCACTGCCACTCCTGCAGGCACACCCGCACCTATGCATGAATGTATGTGCAGGGCACCCTTCAGACATTTCATTCCTGACCCGCTGTACGCAGGGCTTAGTGACCCGCTGGACATGTGCACCGGCAAAAAAAAGTTTTTGTTTCGTCTTATTTTGATTTGGATTTTGCGTTATTTAGGTTTTCGGGATTTGGACGAAATTTGTTAGCGGTAGTCTGTACGAATGTTCATTTCCGTTTCATGTTCGTATCGTTCGTTTCCTGCAGCAAAGTGACATAAATTTTTTTTTCTTTTTTAATTGTCACTTTGCTGCAATGAAAATTTGTCCACAAACTAAAATGCGTACAGACTACCGCTAACGAATTTCGCCCGGAAAACAATTTTTTCCGAAATGAATCGAACATGTCTACTAGACGCAGGGCTTAGGGTTAGTTCACACCATAAGCAGTGCATTCCAGTCCGACTCTGGCTAGAACGCACTGCCCGCATTGCGGCCGGCTCACTTTTTTGCCAGGCTGGAGGGGGCGTGGCGGGCCATTGAAGTGAATGGCACAGTAGCCATGCCCTCCGGCTGCAATGTGAACACCTGCACAGGATTGTAAGGCACATTGTACCTGCAGTGCGTTCGGGTGCGGTGCGATCAAAATAGTGCTTGCAGCATTTTGACCACACCAGACCACAGGCACAATGTACCTTGAGATCCTGTGCGGGCGATCGCATTGCGGCCGGAGGTTGTGGCTACTGTGCCATTCACTTCGATGTGTGTAATCTGACACAGCGCGGCTCCCGATCCGGGTCAGCATTCTATCGCCACGGCAACCCTCCACCAATCACAGCGTGCTGCCGCTACTGCCCGGTCTCCACCCACTCCGCTGGCCTTGTCGTCTGTGAGCGGGAGGGGCAGAGCGTGCGAGAGGGGGGTAATGTATATAGAGAGGGCACCTCTCTATATACATTGCCCCCCCTCTCTATATACATTGCCCCCCTCCCCCTATCTATGTACATTGCCCCCTCTATATATATATTACCCCCCCGTCTCTCAGAGGGGGAGCTAATGTATATAGAGAGGGGGTGGCAATGTATAGAGAGAGGGGGTCAATGTATATAGAGAGAGGGTGGCAATATATATAGAGGGGACAATGTGTATTGATAGAGGGCAATGTGTATAGAGAGGGGGGTAATGTATAAAGAGAGGGGGGGCAATGTATATAGAGAGGGGGACTGTTCTGTGTCCCAGCGGGGAGGAGAGAAAGTGACAGCCGGCCGAGCGCTGCGGGACCGTCCCCCCAGCTTTGAGCCCTCATGTAGCCACAAGGGTGCTAGGTCTCCCCTGCCTATATATACGGCCCCTTCGACCATAATGCCAGTTCAGCAATTTATTCAATGGGATCTGGGCACCTGCCAGATTTAAAGATGGCCACCACTGCTGGTGGCAGCCATCTTTAAATACTTTATCTGAAGTGGAGAAAGGGAGACACCGGAGGTCCGCACGGAGCACACAAGGTGAAGATCTGGAGTGTGTGGGCCCCGGCAACTGGCGCCTAGGCTCCTGTGCCATAGGTTTGCCATAACTGGACTTGGAGATGCAGCTGTGTTAAAGTGGCGTCGCTGTTGCGGCTTTAACCCACCCAGGTCTCCTCCATGTGGGCTGGAAAGGGGACTGGGGGGGGGGGGGGGGGGGGGGGGGGGAGTGTGGTGGCTGATGCCCCCCCTCCCCCCCTGGCTACAGGCCCATGTGGTCAGTCCGCCTCTGGCATATATACATATAAATATCTGGATATAACTGCATACATATTGTACATACATAAATGCTCCCCCAGCAGATTCAGATTATAATGTCATTACTTACCTAACTCTACAATCCCACAGTTATTATTCATGTTGTGACAGCGTTCCACCCAAAACTTCACTTCTTTGCCAGTTCCCATAGTTCTCCTAAGGGTCATGGGAGAACACAAACTAGCAGCATCCCGTGACCCAATGCTCAGTATACCTCGAGCTACAGCTCGCGGCATACTGAGACGCCGCACCCGGGACAGATCCCAGCAACTCTGTCTGGATCCACCCAGCTGCGGAATTGACAGCTGGTTCTGCCTTTCCAGAGGCAGAGCCTGCTGTGCCCGCCCCCTCCCCCGTCCGTTTTGCCAGTCAGCGCTGGAGAAACAGTCCGCCTCTGGCATATATACATATAAATATCTGGATATAACTGCATACATATTGTACATACATAAATGCTCCCCCAGCAGATTCAGATTATAATGTCATTACTTACCTAACTCTACAATCCCACAGTTATTATTCATGTTGTGACAGCGTTCCACCCAAAACTTCACTTCTTTGCCAGTTCCCATAGTTCTCCTAAGGGTCATGGGAGAACACAAACTAGCAGCATCCCGTGACCCAATGCTCAGTATACCTCGAGCTACAGCTCGCGGCATACTGAGACGCCGCACCCGGGACAGATCCCAGCAACTCTGTCTGGATCCACCCAGCTGCGGAATTGACAGCTGGTTCTGCCTTTCCAGAGGCAGAGCCTGCTGTGCCCGCCCCCTCCCCCGTCCGTTTTGCCAGTCAGCGCTGGAGAATCAGGCAGGGGAGGGGGGAATTCCTGCAGGTAGCCGTGAGTGACAGTCACGGCTCTCTGCAGGGATAGATCGAGAAGTGAGCGAACAGTATGTGTTCGCTCACTTCCCGATCTCTCCTAAATTTTTATGCCAAGTCACTCTCCAAAATTCTGGCCAATAGATTGACCGTCTTGCTGGACCAGGCTGGTTTTGTGAAAGGTCGATCAGCTGTGTTAAATGTTCAGAGGAAGACTTCCGGTTCCGGCGCCAGATGAACTAGCGGTGTTCACCGGAGCTCCAACCCCTCCCCATCCTAAGACCGCAAATCTGCCCCGAAGCACCCCGTGAACGGGTCACCTGAGTGCCTCTCAGCTGTCTGGACGACATGGACAGGTTTGTGGCATGTTCACAGCCAGTCCGCCGCTCGCTCTCCTCTCCGTCGGCTCCAGCCGACATGCGGCCTGACATGGCGGCCGTAGTAGATGCTGATAACATAGCCGATGCCACGGAACTGGGTGAGCTGGACACAACGCCTCCCCCGCCCCATATTGATTATCAGCAGCTGGCAGCCATGGTAGCCACACATCTGAGGGCAGAGATGGGGACCATCATAGCTGATTCCCTGAAAATACACATAGGGCCCCTCACAGCGGCCATAGAAGCTCAGACCACCAGGCTGCAGGCCCTAGAAACCCGCATCAGTGATTTAGAAGATCATGCATCTAGATCTGATAGGTCATTAACTGAGGATCAAAAGGCAATTCAATACTTACAGGACAAGGTAGATGACCTTGAAAACAGGTCCCGCAGAAACAATCTCAGAATCATTGGGATCCCAGAATCGATTAAGCCTATAGATCTGCAGCACTTTTGCTCCTCCATTATTCCCCAAGCCATGGACGTCACCTCTCACTGTGCGGTGGAAAGGGCCCACAGAATGGGTCCCCTCAAAGATACTGATAGACCCAGGCCAGTCATTGTCCGATACTTGGTGACTATTCAGACAAACACCGTCTTCTACAAGCCTACAGAATGCAGCACCAGCTGATTGCGGGGGGTCACAAATTACTACTTTTTGCTGACTATTCGGCCGAATTGTCTAAATTACGTCACTCCTTCCATGAGGTATGTCAGTCCCTCGTGTACAGAAGGATCACATTTGTCCTGGCTTATCCAGCTATTCTACGCCTGACAGATCCGGACGGCAACCAAACATGCTTCACGACTGCTCCCAGGCCAAGGCGTACATAGACAGGCACCTGTCTGACTCCCAAGGGCACTCTAACTCCCCTCTTAAGAGTCTGCCACGCAAAAAGAAGGCCTGAACAACCAAGGGGCACATGCTCCTGATGAACCCGCCATGGGCCTGCGACTCAGGCAGTTACCTGGCCGATACAACCCACAATAAGCTACTGCTGTTCTGCAGTTATTTGTGACATCTAAGTCTCACGTTTCTACTGTTTCCTCGGTTTTGTTTTTATTTTTACTCTTCTGCATTGGAATTCTCCCGTAAGTGGCGGGGCGTAGCGACCGGAAGCTACCTGTTCTACTATTTCACTGGCTATCCCAGGGTTGGATCGTATCCCCCTGCCTGATGACCGATTCAAAACACACCGTCATCTGGAAAAAAGGAAGTCACTGAAAGGTATATACATCTACCTTACTTGTTTGTTCTGTTTACTTCATAGACTTTCCGCGCTCCACGTTAGGAGCAGCTGTACATGCATCGCCATATGGATGACTATCTCTCTACATATTATCCTCTCCTCCCTCGGTATCGTGGGATCCGTGAGCCAGGGTCGTGCCCGGAGCACTGGGACACCGGTAACGACTCTTTTTCTTACTTTGCCGTTTTTCTATGATTTCGAAGCCATACAGATCTCTTCAAAGCTATGGGAACCTCCTTGAAAATCGCATCTTGGAACGTCAAAGGGCTCCGGACACCGCAAAAAAGGAGACAAATCTTGCGCCATCTCAAAAAACTGAAAGTGGACGTCGCTCTGCTGCAAGAAACTCACCTCCACCGTGAAGGTATTAGCCTCCTCAAACAGTCTTGGGTGGGAACAGCTATAGGGGCACCATCCAACGGTCGCTCTGCAGGTACGACAATTCTCTTAAGTAAATCCTTGCCCTATTCTTTACTATCTCATCAGCATGATCTGACGGAGGGCAGATGGTCTCATGTTGTTATCCAAGTAGGACTAACTACTTTTGATATCTGGAACATTTACGGTCCTAATGCGGACAATAAGTCCTTTTATGATCGCCTCCTATCTCGCCAATCATCTGCCGCCCCTGATACTTACGTGCTTATGGGGGGTGACTTTAATGCAGTTCCAGTCACCTTAGAAGACCGCTCCTGGACCAAGGGTCGCCCCTCTAAAGTCACCCTCTCACAGGACCGATACCTGTCTGCCATGATCCAAGCCGTAGGCCTTGTGGATACCTGGAGCTTTCTACACCCATTGGATCGGGAATACTCCCACTTTTCCCATGCCCATGACTCTTTCTCTCGCCTGGACTTGATCCTTACCTCTCCCAACCTGATGTCTAAAATTGCCGCTGTGACTGTGGAAGACATGGTTATATCTGATCACGCTCCGGTGACAATTGAACTCCACCACTTGGGCAAGTCCCCCAGGCTGCTGGTGTTGCGCTATCCATTGTACTTGGCCACTGATGACACGTTCCAGGCTCATCTAACATCCTGGTGGAATGAATATGCTACTGACAATGCCATACATAGAGAAGACCCTATCCTTTTTTGGGAGATGGCAAAGGCTGTCCTGAGAGGCAGAATTTTGGCGTATGTCTCCTCCCAAAAGAGATTAACCAGGCAGAGGTATGTGGCGGCATGCACGACGGCTAGGACAGCGTACTTAACGTATAAACAGGACCCATCCCTTCACAACAAATCACTGTGGTCTCAAGCTAAACAATCTTGTGATCACTGGATTGCCCAGTATGATCTACAAATTTGCTCCCACAAAGAAGTGGCATATTTCAAATTTGGCAACAAATCTGGCAAATTATTAGCTAATCTAATCCGGGGACAATTTGTTCCCTCCCACATACTTAAACTCGCTAACGATAGTGGAGAGCTCTCCTCAGACCCTTCTGAGGTTAGTGAAATATTTTGCACTTATTACCAATCCCTGTACGCAGCGAACAATGGAAATGCTGCCGCTGGCTCTGCTTTTTTAGACTCTGTCTTGTTGCCTTCCCTGTCCGCTGCCGATCGGGACCTCTTGAATGCTGAAGTCACCCTCCAGGAGGTACAATCAGCTATTCAACTTTCTCCTGGTTCGAAAGACCCCGGACCAGATGGTCTAACGGCTGAATTATCATGTCTCCCCTACCCTAGTGTCCCTCTTTAACCATATCCTACACCAGAATAGCTATCCACCCACGTTCAGTGCTGCTTACATCCGCTTGCCTAAAAAAGGGAAAGACCCCACTCTCCCTGGGTCCTATCGCCCTATTTCACTACTAAACTTTGATGCCAAGTTGCTCTCTAAAATTATGGCGAACAGACGGCCGTCGTGCTGCCCAAACTTATATGGTCAGACCAGGCGGGTTTTGTAACTGGTAGATCTGCTGTACTGAATGTCAGGAAAATCATTGCTGCCTTAGAGGGAATACGGTTGTCGGGGCCCTCTCCCGTACCAACGGCCCTTTTAGCGTTGGACGTGGAGAAGGCCTTCGATAACGTTAACTGGTCATGGCTTTCTCAAGTGATGCATCGCTTAGGCTTCTCGGGGATATTTCAGTCTTATATTTCCTCAATGTATAGTTCTCCTTCAGCACAAATATACACGCCCTCAGCCCTGTCCTCCCCCTTTTGTTTATTCAAGGGCACCCGTCAAGGTTGTTCTGTCTCCCCTCTCCTATTTAACATTGCGCTAGAACCCCTGTCCCGCTCATTAGCCTCCAATCAAATATTCAGTGGTTACAGAACTGGCCCTTTTGATATAGAAATGGCCCTATTCGCGGACGATATACTACTAGTAATATCCGATCCACGGACAAGCATCCCCAACATTTTTAATCACATCAGCCTTTTTGGCTCCTTTTCTGGCCTTAAAATTAACAATAATAAGAGTGAACTCCTACCGTTAACCCCCGGACAAGACATACGTTGAAACCCTTGCCCGTTCACACCCCTCACTACAGATGCAAAAGCAGTCCATTACCTACCTGGGGATCTCCATTCCCGTTCTGCTAAAGATCTTTATTCCCTCAATTATAAGCCTATCATCGCTAAAATTGTCCAAGAACTACGAGCATGGCGTGACTACCCCGTCTCCCTTCTAGGTAGATGCCATCTCATAAAAATGATAAGCTTCGGAAGATTGCTCTACCCGATACAAATGATACCCCTTCTTTTAAAACACAAAGATATCAAACTCCTCCATAGTGCATTCTCGACCTTTCTCTGGAAAGGGAAGAGGTCGAGAATAGCCTTGAAAAAAACTCCAACAACCGGTAAAGAGCCTAGGCGCCAACCTTCCTAACATTAGGGTCTATAACTTAGCCAGCCTCTTCCGGCATGTGCGAGATTGGATGCATGATACCTCCTTCTTTACAAATACCCCCTAGAGATCCAGCTGATGTCACCGTGGTCACCGCCTGGTGTCTTGAACACCCCACTGAGGCTCCTTCCCACATGTATAAAGGATAACATCCTCCTCAGAGACACTATTTTAGCTTGGAGAGAGGTCAGAAAACTTCTACGTCTCCCCACGGTTCTCTCTCCCGGGATGCCCCTCACCTCCTCCCCGATTGTTGCAGTAGGCAGGGAATCTCATGCCTGTCGATCATGGTCTGCAAAGGGTATATCTACCCTCGGGGACCTGTTTGACCCTGGGGGTCACTTCAAGACCTTCTGTGCCCTTCAACTTCTATACAATCTCCCCACTACTCACGCTTTCCCATATTTACAGCTACGCCACTTTGTCTCCCATCACCTTACTCTGCCGTGGCGTGAAATAATCCATTCACCCATTACACCTATACTATCGTTTCCGCAGACCAAAATGCCATTATCCCATCTTGCCAAATCTATCGCTACTGCTGTACTTGATTTCTCCAACTGTACACCATCCCACATTAAACGTTGGGCTGATTTCCTACATATAACTGTTGAAGAAACGACCACGATAGTGGAACAGGGATGGGGACAAGTTAGGAAAGCTATTATAAATTAATCCTGGCGAGAAATATACTTTAAGATAGTACACAGAGCCTACCATACGTTTAATATACCCCCAAAAAATAATGCCTCTACCACCTGGCTGACGGCTTGCCCGAAATGCGATCACCCCCTGCCTGAGCTGACACACTTGCTCTGGTCATGCCCCCATGTACAGACTGTTTGGTCTGCAGCAGTTTCCTTTATGAATGTACATTCGGGTAAGGCGAGAACGCTATCCCCAGCCTTCTGCTTACTACATTCCCTCCCGTCAGATACCACTGGCAAACCCTCATGTTGGGAGCATCTGTGCCTTCTTACAGCTAAAAAGTCAATCTTGTGCAATTGGATAACATCAGATCCCCCATCCATGGAAAATTTCCACTCCCTGCTATTCCGCCTCATGTTGCTAGACAAATTAGACACTAAGTTTAACCAAATGCGAACCAACAGGTTCTTTGCCACCTGGACATCCTTTGTTGCGGCTGAATTATCCTTAGAGCAGCTACAAGACTTAATGTCCATTTTCCAACTTTCTAAATGGTATCTTGAAGCTAAACTAACAAACACCGCCTGGTGTCTTGAACACCCCACTGAGGCTCCTTCCCACATGTATAAAGGATAACATCCTCCTCAGAGACACTATTTTAGCTTGGAGAGAGGTCAGAAAACTTCTACGTCTCCCCACGGTTCTCTCTCCCGGGATGCCCCTCACCTCCTCCCCGATTGTTGCAGTAGGCAGGGAATCTCATGCCTGTCGATCATGGTCTGCAAAGGGTATATCTACCCTCGGGGACCTGTTTGACCCTGGGGGTCACTTCAAGACCTTCTGTGCCCTTCAACTTCTATACAATCTCCCCACTACTCACGCTTTCCCATATTTACAGCTACGCCACTTTGTCTCCCATCACCTTACTCTGCCGTGGCGTGAAATAATCCATTCACCCATTACACCTATACTATCGTTTCCGCAGACCAAAATGCCATTATCCCATCTTGCCAAATCTATCGCTACTGCTGTACTTGATTTCTCCAACTGTACACCATCCCACATTAAACGTTGGGCTGATTTCCTACATATAACTGTTGAAGAAACGACCACGATAGTGGAACAGGGATGGGGACAAGTTAGGAAAGCTATTATAAATTAATCCTGGCGAGAAATATACTTTAAGATAGTACACAGAGCCTACCATACGTTTAATATACCCCCAAAAAATAATGCCTCTACCACCTGGCTGACGGCTTGCCCGAAATGCGATCACCCCCTGCCTGAGCTGACACACTTGCTCTGGTCATGCCCCCATGTACAGACTGTTTGGTCTGCAGCAGTTTCCTTTATGAATGTACATTCGGGTAAGGCGAGAACGCTATCCCCAGCCTTCTGCTTACTACATTCCCTCCCGTCAGATACCACTGGCAAACCCTCATGTTGGGAGCATCTGTGCCTTCTTACAGCTAAAAAGTCAATCTTGTGCAATTGGATAACATCAGATCCCCCATCCATGGAAAATTTCCACTCCCTGCTATTCCGCCTCATGTTGCTAGACAAATTAGACACTAAGTTTAACCAAATGCGAACCAACAGGTTCTTTGCCACCTGGACATCCTTTGTTGCGGCTGAATTATCCTTAGAGCAGCTACAAGACTTAATGTCCATTTTCCAACTTTCTAAATGGTATCTTGAAGCTAAACTAACAAACTCCCTGGGCCCTTCAGACCCCGTTCACATTGAGCGATTTATTGCGCTCTCCAATGCTTCTCAATGGGGCAAAGGGTCCTGCTGTCGCCGGTCGTGTGTCGCTACAACAGGACCCTTTTTGGAGCGGATTTAGCCGCGATTCAAGCTTGCTCAATGCAAGCATTTGCGCGATATCGCACGACAAATCGCGAAAAATGCAAATCACGCGACAATCGCGCGATTTGAGAACCGCTCAATGTGAACGGGGCCTTAGATGTCCTATAGTTCACGGTTCCTTCTATTTGATCTGATCCGTTCATGCACACAATTCTCCCATTATCTCTCAGTATGTTATGAACATATTGGCCCCAATCTTTTCCACAATTACCTATATTGGGTTGAGGTTGTGTATCACCCAGACTTGGACTCCTCTGGTCCCCTCACTAGAGAAATAATATGGCGATGGCATATATTCACACATTTTCAATATTATGTTGTTATGGTTTATCTTGAATTCCATTTAATGTGCTTTGATCTATAACTGATATAGGTGCAGTCTGTGTACTAGTGCCTGACTCAATTTACCTGCTGCTGATTGCACTTGTTTATGTTGTATTATTCGATACTTAATAAAAATTGACATGCTGAAAATTTTTTTTTTCAGAGGAGGGGTGTGTGGCCAGCGTTTGATGGAGATGGCTGCTTGAAATGGAGCTCTGTGTTCAGGCCGACAACAGATCCAGAAATCTCAGCCTGCGGTACCTCCAAACCAACTTCCTCTATCTCAGAAACTACCAACCTGCCTCTCGACATGTCCCGCAAGAAGAAGGAACGCTCCCGTCCGAGTAAACTCACCTCGTTCTTTGTGGCCTCCAGCTGCACCCGAGGCAAAATGGTGCCGGCTCTTCTTCCCGTTTGCCGTTTACCTCCAACACAGCTGATGGAGAGGAACAGTCCGGATCCCTGACTTCTCCCCTGCAGACACGACCATCGTCCTCTTCACCGGCCTTTCTACCACTTTCTTCTCTTGGTACTGGAAGTCCTGCGAAATCGAGGCCATAGCTTTCGGGCCCTCACCAGCAGGTGTGGTGGTAAGCCCTATTCATAATTCTTTGGATGACACCAGGGAACTGGTGACACTTATCAACACATACCCAACCTCAGACAAGCCATTATCTGATTATTCACTTTAAGTGATGATAAAATCACTGCTCCTTTAAAAACTGTATATTTAAAAGTGTTTTTTTTCATTGATTCCTGTCCCCCAGTTCAGTACTCAAGTCCCCATACACATTTTATGGCCAATACCTTGCACATAAGCCTTCAAAATGGGGTCAATTCATTTTCAAAGTTCTACCCCCATAGACTTGCATTGAGTTTGAGATCAAATTCAACCTTTGGCTATGTTCGAAA